TCGATTTTGGTGGGGGGGTCTGCGCTACATGTCTGCGAGGACCCTTCAGACTGTCTCTTATACACATCTAGATGTGTATAAGAGACAGGGTTTTCTCAATCTCAAAGCTACCTGCCTGGTTGCTTGTGTACTTGCCTGTCATCCATCCATCTGAAAACTACCTACCTGCCTACCTGCCTACCTACCTGCCTGCATCCCTGCCTGCCTGCCTGCCAGCCTCCCCGCCTACCTGCCTGCCTACCTGCCTACCTGCCTGCCTGCCTGCCTGCCGACGCCTGCCGACCTGCCTGCCGACCTGCCTGCCAACCTGACTGCCTGCCTGCCCTATCCATCAGGCAGGGAGGTAGGCAGGTAGGCAGGCAGGGAGGTAGGCAGGTAGGTTGGCAGGGAGGTAGGCGGGTAGGTGGGCGGGTAGGCAGGCAGGTAGACAGGCAGGTAGGCAGGCAGGTAGGCAGGTAGGCAGGTAGGGAGGGAGGTAGGGTAATAGGGAGATAGGGAGGCAGGTAGATAAGGAGGTAGGTAGGCAGGTACGTAGGAAGGCAGGCAGGCAGGTAGGCAGGCAGGCAGGCAGGCCTACCCGCCTACCCGCCTACCTACCTACCTGCCGACTTGTCTACGTGCCTACCTGCCTACCCGCCTACCTAGCCGCCTACCTACCCACCTATCCGCCTACCTACCCGCCCGCCTAAGTACCCACCTACCTGCCAACCTATCTATCTACCTATGTATCTATCTATCTATCTATCTATCTATCTATCTATCTATCTATCTATCTATCTATCTATCTATTTACCCACCTACCTACCCACCTACCTATCTATCTACCTACCTATCTATCTACCTACCTATCTATCTATCTGTCTACCTATCTCTCATTCCCTCATTCCCTCATTCTCCCAATCTCAATCAGTCAATAGAGAGATTCTCTCTATGTATCTATCTATGTATCTATCCCATCTATCCATCTATCTATCTATCTATCTATCTATCTATCTATCTATCTCCACATACACACACACACACAGAGGGCCAGGGGGAATATTATCGATTTTCAGATGTGCATACAGTATCACAGGACCTTTGGGAAGTGCCCACATCACAAAGCAGTAACTGGTCTTTAGGAATGAGGAACCGCAATCGCACCAAAAAGCAATCTGCTGCAGAAGTCCCAGTGTGAGTATGCCCTGATTCTATCACCATAGCCCTGGCACAAAGAATTTCAGAGCAACCTTACAGAAAGAAGGAGAATCCTGGACACACTACCGGTATGACACTGCTTCTAGGCATTCGATAGCTTGAGGGGAGAAAGGGAGAAAGGGAGAAAGGGAGAAAGGGAGAAAAAGGGGAAACAGAGGCTGAAGAACGATTGCCAGGCAACTCACTCTTTCATGGAGAACAGTATCAGATACAGACACAGGATTGTTGGCACCATTGTACACTTCCCCAGCTTCAAGCATAGTCTGCTTCATGAGGGCAAATGCCCTTTGTATGTGGGAAAACAGCAGCAGGCACACCACAAAACGTTAGTAATAAGTTAACTAATAGCATAACCAATCTTGATTAGAAGACTGATACGTTGTGATAACCATGGTCACGTATCTGGACTTCTGCATATCTGATGCCCAAGTGCTGGACCTATGGACCGGCTGTTTGGATGTTGTTTCATTGCTGCTAGGGAAGGGCGTGGAACTCCCTCCCTCTCTCCCTCCCTCCTCAGTCAGTACCGTCTGCATACTTCTTATTTGCTGCTGCTGAGCCCCACCTCTCTTTGTTGCGCTTTCAGCAGTCAGGTAGATACTTAGTCCAACCTGTCCTTCGCAACTCGACATCCCTTCCAGTATTCCCTTCAGGCTTCAACTTTGCAACTTCCTTTCCCCTCCCCCCCTTTTTCAACAAAACGCAGGCCCCATCTATTCTGGGAAGCACCAGTCCAGTTGCTTATCATCAGCACACATAGACAAAGAACAAGGAACAGAGAAATAGACTTCATAGTGCGTCCTCTTGCTGAAAATGTGTCTAAATCTCCGAGGTCAGGCTCACCTTCACGTGTGAGACTTGAAGCAATGCTGCGCCCATCCATGCGTGCGTTAGTAGGCGCATGCATAAGGGATCAAAAGACTCCTTGAGGTACGCAAAAATCCAACTCCCATGCAGGACCCCAAGGAGCTCACTGCCTAGCGCAGACAGATGATTGATCACTATACTATTATTACAATATTATTGAATATAGTATATATATATTTTGAGTGGCTAAAGGCTGAAATTGAGGGGCTACCAACTGGCCTAGCTCAATTGGTACACCCAAGACCTGTTGAACTGTTTTGGCTGGCGCCGCCAGCCATTTTGGTCCGGTTGCCCCGAGCCTCTGAAATTTTCCTCTCGTTTTTCTCAAGGTGCCTGGGGACGTATACTGGCTGTTTAAGCATTTTAGCGACCCTTAGTAGCCAAATGCGAATATGACTCCCGGCACTGCGGCTGTGACGAGGACTGCTGAAGATATGGTTGGTCATAAACTTGGAGAATTTGCTTCTACGCGTAAGACTTCGGAAATCCCCATTTGCAGGAACACATCACATGGTTGAACTTGAGGTAAATTTGTAAAGGCAGTTGTGGAAGGCTGAAACAAGTTTAGGAGGAGATGCTGGAAGGTGTGAGTGACTTAATATATGCTACCTTCAATTTCCCCGAAAGGAGAATCTGAGTGCCAATCCACCTTTTCTTAAAGTTTGAGAGGCGGAAGAGAAGAGGGGAGTCTGATGTTCAATTTGAATCCATCTTTACTATAATAGTTCAGGCTCTATGCTTGGGTCTTATGTCTGATCCTTGCAGGTGTTCTATTCAATCACTGAACCATGATAAGGGACTCAACATGCATGCACCTGTGACTGGTACATCTGAGTGAAAAGTGGAGAATCATTGCAAACGATTATCTCTACCCAGAACCCAGTTGAAGCTAGAGTTAGCAATCACTGACCTTGCAAAGTTGGGATAGTACCGAACTATTCTTGATTGACCCTGTACCATTGGTGTGTGTGATCCAAAACCTGCTTCAAACTCCTCTTTGCTGAATACACAAACCCCCCTCTCTCCCCCAAAGTCCCAGCATCCCATCCGTCAGGCCCAGAGCATCAGCGGCGCCAGCCCAGCACCCACATGCCACCAACTGACCCAATTTCACCGAAAGCAAGTTTCACAACTCCACCCCAATCCCTTCATCGTACGTACATAGAAAATAAGGTATGAAAGACGCAAAAAGACACAAAAGGACATGAGTATAAAGGCAGTGAATCACATTGACAAAAGGGGGCAAAGTGAGACCATAACTGGCAAATGAATGTTGAGTGGGCAATGTACAGTTCAAAAACATAGACGGTGCCCAGTTGCTTGTGCCAAGACAGCCTAATCCCACCTCGATCCGAAAAGACAAGTTCTTGAAACAAAACTGTACAGTTTCTTGGTAAGGCCAAGATACCCACACATAGCCCTTGATAGCGGGGGTGAGGGTGGATGCATCAGGGGGTGCTTTAATCCCTTGAAGGGGGGAGGATTAATAGAGGATCGATGCACCGTAGGGACTAGGATCGGTGGGGGGGGGGGAGAGGAGTGTTTATAGTGAAATTGCTATGCCATGGAGGGTGTGAGAGATGCCTCATAGGGGAGAGTTGTTTGTGCTGGCCTTTGTGTTGATCTTCTTTACTCATGTATTGTGATTGATGTGTTAATTTTCCCTTTTAAAATAAACTCCCCGGCTTCAAAAGGGAAGTTGCTCGTCTGGGAAGCAGACTTAATGTTGAATATAGTAATATACTAGGATGCCAGCTGTACGATCCGGTGACGTCTCCCCTGGACGTCTCCGGGAGACAGTCAGGGGGGAGTTGTCCAGGATCCCGAACAGCAGCTTTTTGGCCCAAAAAAAAAAAGGAAAAAAGAAAAAAAAAATTGGGGGGGGGTCTGCGCACCACTAGGCCCCCCCCCACAAAAAACAAAATTCAGATCAAAACGAAAAAAAAAAAAAAAAAATGGTAAAAAGGGGGGGAGGGGGTTGATGGAGGGCCCACTGCTACACACAACAAGGAGGAGGAGGAGGAAGAAGAAGAGGAGGAGGAGGAGGAGGAGGAGGAGAAGGAGGAGGAGGGTGACAAGGAGGAGGAGGAAGAAGAAGAAGAGGAGGAGGAATATGAGGAGGGGGCATAGGCGATGGAGGAAGAGGAAGAGGAGGAAGAAGAAGAATTGGAGGAGGAGGAGGAGGAGGAGGAAGAATAAGAGGAGGAGGAGGAGGAAGAAGAAGAGGAGGAGGAGGAGGAAGAGAAAGAAGAGGAGGACGAGGAGAAGGACGAGGCAGTGGAGGAGGAGGAATGGGCCGTGACGATGAGGAGGAGGAGGAGGAGGAGGAAAAAGAAGAACAACAATAGGGGGAGGAGGAGGAGGAAGATGTTTTTTTTTTTTTCACTGCAATCTTTGATGATTTTTATTTTTTCTGATGAATTCAAATTGACTGAAAACCTGAGTGCGGATCCGGGCCGCCCGGGTGACCGGCAGGGGCCCGGGGGAGGCCCCGGGCCGGGCAGGGCACCCGGTTGGGGGCCGGGCCCCCCCACCGCACTCACCTGTCGGGGGATTTCAGACCCCCTTTGTCTGTGTGTGTGTGTGTGTGTGTGTGTGTGTGTCTGTGTGTGTGTGTGTGTGTGT